GCCTGCGCGCTACTTCGTTCATCTCCTCTGACAGGTCACTGCTTCGATACACTTCTGGCGCACCTGCCTCGGCACTTTTGTGTCTTCATTTCGGTTGGTTTTTTTCCCTGAGCTTTTCCTGGCGCCGTGCACGCTGCTTCTCCCCTTACCAGCAGCCCAAACGCTCACGACGATGAGCTGGGCTGTCACCGCTTGGCCGCCGGTGGGGGGTTTGGGAGGCCGCATCACACACAGACACCCACACACTCCCTCAACTTACACGAACACACACATACGCAGACTCATTTCCACACGGACATAGACACACGCACAGAAACCCACACACTACCTCAACTCACTCGACTTCACACTTCTCACTGCACACTTACCGGATAACTCGCACTCTGACTTCCTACGTGATGAAAAACGCTTTCGGGCCACTCGTCGTCTAGTTCGGGAGGCCATCAAGGAAATCACGCACGGCGACCATGTATTGAATTGGACCCCCATGAAGTATTCTGAATCCGGCGGTGGCTCGCCTCACAGGAGGCTCTTCTCTTGTGGTTCATTAGGTTCGGGACCGAACCTGGTTACAAGCCACACCTCAGATGGAGTAACCCCTGGAAGGCTTCTGGGACCAGAAACTTGCGCAGGACTTTGCGGAATCTTTGGTTGAGAGAAAGAAAAGGCGCGCAGCTGAACCGTAGCACTGAATGGGGGACAGTGATGTATGTGTATATTTGCATTCTTCGGAAGATTTGGCTGGACATTCTGAGGCGCAGCAGCTTGCGGAGGAGCTCCCGGGCACTAGGCCACGCAGATTGTGCTAACGCCCGCGCATGGCTATTACAAAAAAATATATTTACAGCCTTCGGCATGCCGCCGGCCACCAGCTCGAGCCCGCATTGGCAGGCAGCTTATGATACAATACCCTGCTCAATCATACTTGTTGGTGCATTGGAGGTGCACATTTGGCTGGGTGAGTTTGTTGATGTTTATTTCAAGGTTGTTTTGACCATGAAATGGAACGAATCCGAATCAGAGGTTGTCTATTCTGATCCAGCGATCCTGATTTCAAGCGAAATCGTTTTACAATGAAATGGAACGAATCCGAATCAGAGGTTGTCTATTCTGATCCAGCGATCGACATGTCTCAGTCCGATGGTTGTCTGTTCTGATCCAGCGACCTACTACCTACTACCTACTACGTACCACCTACTACCTACTACCTACTACCTACTACCTACTACCTACTACCTGCTACCTGCTACCTAGTACCTAGTACCTACTACCTACTACCTACTACCTACTACTGCTGCTACTACTGCTACGACTACTACTACTACTACTACCACCACCACTACCTACAGTCCAACCTACTACCTACTACGTACTACCTACTACCTACTACCTACTCTACCTACTACCTACTACCTACTACTACTGCTGCTACTACTGCTACTACTACTACTACCACCACCACTACCTACAGTGGGGGGGGGGAGGGGGGGTGAAAGAGTGACTAGGGCGTACACGGTAGAGGTGCAGACCGCTAGTGGCTTTTATGCGCAGAGTCTCTTTGAGCCTTGAAGCAGTCAAGCATGGACACACTATATCGGCTGTTGGAGTGGAACCCTGTACAGGTAGGCTCTACTTTTCAGCAGGCACAAGATTCATGTCCACTCCTAGCTGATTGCGTATGTCGCATACTCTTTTTCTACTGCAAGGCTAAAACAGTCCAGCTAGCTCTAGCAACTTAAAAGAAAACTACGGTGCCATGTACTTACCTAATCCAGTGTGTTTCACACTATAGAGAAGGTAATCTCAAAGCTACTAAATACAGTGAGGGAGCAATAGCTGACTCACCTCAAGTACAAAATCAAAACGATAATGTACCTCGGCTGGAGACTGTACTTTTCACAGGCGGAGATACCATGTACCGGCGCTCACTAGCTCTTTATGGCCTGAGCTAAATCAAACTAAAAAGGGAAAGCGGCTTTTTCTCTACAGAGACCTATAAAAGAATCAAACGACACTCGCGTAACAAAGAACTAAAAATTCAAGACCGCACAAATGCAATTAATTAAAACGCCTTGCAAAATGCAAGGAGCGTACGGTCCGAGGAATAATCTTCTCGTGACGTGGTCTCGACCGCTTTCATTCACAGACAAAATAAACTGCATCAAAAGGACTCTCTTTCACATTCACATCAAAAACACAAGAAGGAGATACCGGCAAATGTATGTACAAAAAGCTTGCACTACAATTGCAAATCATGAAATGACTTAATCATCAACCATGACTGGTTGTCCATTAGAGGTCATCTCAGAAAAGCGACTGTGATAGATATCATCAGTTATGCAAAACTGTCCATACCTATCTACATGCTAAAGCGTATAAACCTGGAATGCAGGAGTATCTTCTTTGATAAAAAGTTTCTCCTCATTGCAAACCAGAACTTATTAAAACTTCAGCCTGGCAACTTAAAGTCAAGCCTGGAAGCAAAGTATCAACTGTAACCAGAAGTATCTTCACTTCCTAGCCATCATTTAAATTTCAGCCTTCGCTCAGGAATTATGCCGCTGCAGACGATGAAGCTGCTTGATCAGAAGTTGGCGGCCTTCCTTTCTTTCTATTCTGCTTCTGTTTCTCCTTCCTCCGCAAGTTCGCCTCATGAAGCGTTGCTCCCATGCGATACTGTCTCCTGTCTCCAGATGACAGGGAAGCTGGTCTGAGTGAAATAAACATTGGACCATGACTGTCCTCGTCAGTGGGCCTTGAGCACATAACCTCTGTGTCAATCATAGCAAAGTTCTCTGAAAAATTACAGATGAACTCCTTCGTGCTCACTGTGGAATTTTCATATTCCTCTTCACTCATTGAATGACCCCATTCAACAATGGTAGACAAACATGTATCGCCAAGCTGTGATCCTTGGTATTCTTCTTTCTCAACAGTAGAGTATTCTTCCCAGAGTTTATCAAAGTAAACTTCACACTTCTTGAGGACCTGTGAAGTTGAACTGTAAAATGTTCTGGGAATAGGTGCTTTGATACCAGGATCTGCTTTTACACGAGCTTCTGAAAACCTGCGGATCCAATGCTGCATGGTGCTGTAATAGTAGTTAGCCACTGGTTGCCTTTTGTACCCAGACATTCTGTAGGCCAAACTATTTGCATCACCAGAAATGATGTCCACCTCATAGACAAAACACTCGTAAAGCATCAATGCTGTCTGTTCTCCTGTCAGTAGGTGGGCATCCACAGCACGGTGTGTATCAACATGATAATTACAGACTCTGATGGTATGCATGTTCGCTCGAGTAAGTGGAACACGCTTGTCCTCAGGACCATAGTCATCAAATTCAAAGTCTGCATCCTTGAAATCTTGACGAGGCCTTGTTTCTCCAAAACAAATCTCGTAGATAGCCCAAGTTACATCACGCTGTTCACAGTGACCAAGGTCTTGGTCATGTCCAGCAATGATCTTGACATATCCACCTGGTGCCAATCTAGCCATCACTGCAAGATTCTCCCAATCATTGAAACAAACTGTCCAATTCTTTTGCTCAATAAATTCCTTGGCAGGAACAAGAAGATGAGCTTCCTGGAGAATCACGACATGTGCACGTAAAAAGAAGAGCATGTTGAAGAAAAGGTTGTTCTCAAATTGCTCATTCTGAAGTGACATGGCGCTCTGTTTGCGTGGCCTCATTACACTATCAAGTCCTTGGAGAAACCTTGGTGTGGTGTACTTCTGACCACGAACCATGTTGCCATAGTTCCAGGATAAAAATGCCAGGGACTCTGAGCTGGCCAATAAGTTAGTTCCATATGGTTCTTCTATTCTTCCCTTGAGGAACCTTCTGCACAGCCCTTCATAGAAGGTGACAAAGTCCCAACTGGGTCCCTTGGGACCATATGATTCCAGTTCCTTCTTGAGTTCCTTCTTCGTCTCCTCCAATTCTTCTCGAGCATGTCCTGCCCTTTCAAGGGCCTTTGGATCGACCTGATACTTGCCATCCAAATAAATGATGCGATCATCATTGATGAAAAATCTCTTCAAATCATGCTCTGGTTCATGTTCATAACAATCAGGTGGAGGTACTGGACAGACATTACGAATGGATCGAACAAAATCATTTTCATTGATCCTCGACTGATAATGAGGATGGGAAATCTCACCTTTTCTGAAACAAACATTATTCAGCAATCTTGCGTGAGTTTCCCTGAAGCATAGTTGATAAAGGCCAATACCTGGATCTCCTGTAAGCTCTCCAAGCAACTTCAAAGGTGAAGTATGCAGCTCATAGGTATTGTCAACCTTTGTTGTATCCTTTTCAACAACTACTTCAGATGGAAAAGATTCTTGGATTTCAGCCTCCAATTTCTTCTCTCCATCATCCTCTCTGACCTCTTTTATTTTCTCCACCGCCTCTTTCTTCTCTTCCATGGTTGCATCATCCTGAACTTCTTCATGAAAATGAGGATCAGGTATTTTATTCAGGCGGCTTTTCTTAGATTTCGGCAGACGTAGAGTATCATCAAGGCTAGCATCCATCTCACCTGATGGTAAGTGCGATGCAGTCGAGTCCTCACCTATCTCTCTTGACAGAAAGTGTGGTGTTGACTCTTCCTTGGCTTCCTCCTGGTCCACTTCCATCTTTGGTTCCTCTGAAGGAAAAACACCTGCATCTTCATTAAATATTTCTTCTTCCTTTCCAGGTTCAACTGCAGGATCTTCTTCAGGAACTTCCTCTTCCATATTCTCATCTTCTAGAAGTGTCCTACTTCCAGTATAGACTTCACCAGCGATAGTGGAGACTCTTGTATAAGGAGGAACTTCTTCACCTGCTTCAAAAGCTTGTTCTGCAACATCCTTGGTGAGCAAGTCCTCTACAAGATTTTCTCCCTCGGTTCTTGGAAGAGGTCCTGAGGTCTCATAAAAATCTGTCCTCTCTGAACTGAAAGCTTCTGTTGCCTTCTCATTTTCCTTTTGATCCCTGAACAGGTGAGTAATCTTCACAGCTTCTCCCTGTAACACCTGATCACCTCCTCTATACTTGTCGACAATGGAGCGCCATACTGGAACATCATCATCATCAAAATCAAGCTCCATATCGTCTGCCAACAGGTATGAGATGTTTTGAGCTGCCTGTTCTTCTTCTTCATCACGTTCTTTGGCAAGCTCCTCATCCTTCTGGATCTTGAAGATACCCTTCAGGATGTCTTGTAGTACCTTTAAGTTCAGCTTCGATGATGGCTCATACGTCCCTGAACTTACAGGCTCAACTACAACACGAGAGCAAGAAATCGCCTCCAAAAACTTGGAATTGTATTGGCGTTCAAACTCTTCCCTCTTGATCATCTCATACAAGGGATCAGAAACTGCAACACGCGCCTGAACATACTCACGAAGTTGATAACATGCATGTTGCACAAATCTACTGTTGGAGTTGTGAAGAAAACTCTCTAAATGATTCCTGTCACGGTCAATCAAATACCACACAATCCTTGCCGAAAAACGGAATTTCTTGAAGTTCATAGCAAAATGTGTATGATACTTCTCTGGATTCCTTTCTGCTTGTAAGGCGGCCTCTGAAGTCTTGTATGCTGGGAGATTTGTGTCTGGATCCAAAATCATAAACTCTTCCCACAAGATCGAGCGGTCAAGAACCCACTTGGGAAGCACCTTGATGAAAAAGTCACAAACAAGTTTTGACACAAGGTGCATGACACGACCAATCTCTTCCTCCTGCTTGAAGCGATAGTGCAATTTGGCAAATAAGGGATTGTTGAATGCTTCCTCCAC